CATTACCTCCAACATTGATCATTTCTGTGTTTTCCGAATATCACAAATCTACTCTTCCAGTTATCTTGAAATATATAATAAATTATTGTTAACTATGACTGTCCTACTGTGTGTGCTAGCAAACACTAGATATTATTATTATTATTTTTTGAGATGGAGTCTCGCTCTGCCACCCAGGCTAGAGTACAGTGGTGCAATCTCGGCTCACTACAACCTCCATCTTCTGTCTCAGCCTCCTGAGTCTTTGGGACTACAGGTGCCTGCCACCATGCCCCCCTATTTTTTTGTATTTTTAGTAGAGGCAGGTTTTCACCATGTTGGCCTGGCCGGTCTTGAACTCTAGATCTTGTTTCTTATAGCTACTTGCATTTTGGGGTCCATTAACCATCCCCCTTTCTCCCTGCTCCCCACTATCCTCCCAGCCTCTGGGAATCATCATTATATTCACTACCTCCATCATATCAATTTTTCTCAGTCCCATATATGAGTGAGAACAAGTGACATTTGTCTTTTTGTTTTTGACTTATTTCACTTAACATAATGTCACCCAGTTATATCCATGTTGTTGCAAAGGACAAGGTTTTATTCTTCTTATGAATGAATAATAGTCCATTGTGCATATATACCACATTTTCTTTTTTTTTTCTTTATACCACATTTTCTTTATCCATTCATCTATTAACAGATACTTAGGTTGACTCCGTATCTTAGCTATTGTGGACAGCACTGCTATAAATATGACAGTGCACATGTCTCTTCAACGCTGATGTCTTTTCTTTTGAATGTATATGCAGTAGTGGAATGCTGGATCATATAGGAGTAGTTCTAATTTTAGTATTTTGAGGAAACCATATTGCTTTCCACAGTTGCTGTACTAATTTACATCCCCACCAACGGCACAGGAGCATTCCCCTGTATCCACATTCTCTCCAGCATTTATTATTTTCTGTGTTTTTGATAACAGTCATTTTAACTGGGGTGAGATAGCTCACTGTGGTTTTGATTTGCATTTTCCTGATGACTAGTGCTATTGAACATTTTCCATTTACCTGTTGGCCATGTGTATATCTTCTTTGGAGATGTGTCTGTTCCGATATTTTGCCCATTTTTAATGATTGTTTCCTTTTTGCTATTGTCTTGTGTGAGCTCCTAATACATTCTGGTTATGAACCCCTTGTCAGCTGTATAATTTGCAAATATTTTCTCCCATTCTGTAAGTTGTCTCTTAACTTTATTGATTGTTTCCTTTGTTGTGCAGAAGTTTTTCTTTTTTTGTAGTAGTTGTTGTTTTGTTTTGTTTTTAGACAGAGTCTCACTCTGTCACCCAGGCTGGAGTGCAGTGGTGTGACCTCAGCTCACTGCAACCTCCACCTCCTGAGTTCAAGTGATCCTCTTGCCTCAGCCTCCAGAGTAGTTGGGATTACAGGGGCTTACTACCACACCCAACTAATTTTTGTATTTTTAGTACAGACAGGGTGTCAGCATGTTGGCCAAGCTGGTCTCAAACTTCTGACCTCAGGTGATCTGCCTGCCTTGACCTCCCAAAGTTCTGGGATTACAGGCATGAGCCACCATACCCAGCCTTGTTTGGTCCTTTTAAAATTAATTTTTCTCTTTGGTGTTAGACTGGGTAATTTCTATTGATTTGTATTCAAGAATACTGTCTCCCTCCTCTGTCAACTTCTTTCTGATACTGAGCCAATAAAGTACATTTTCAATTTCAAGTACTGTATTTCTTTTGTACTCTATATTATAATTTTGCATTTCATTTATATTTTTAATTTTTTGATGATAATCTTTTCAATTAATTTTAAAGGATATTCACATTTACCTAATGGAAGATGGTTGTAATGTGTATACTTTCAGTATTAATGCTTACTGATTGCATTTTTCCTTGAATTTAGGTCAGATTTTCATGGTTCTCTAAATGCCATGTTACCGTTGGATTATATCTTTAGCAATTTTTTTTTGAGAATGAGTTTTGCTTTTGTTGCCCAGGCTGGAGTGCAATGGCATGATCTGGGTTCACCTCAACCTCTGCCTCCCGGGTTCAAGTGATTCTCATGTCTCAGCCTCCCGAGTAGCTAGGATTACAGGCATGTGTCACCACACCCGGCTAATTTTGTATTTTCAATAAAGACGAGGTTTCTCCATGTTGGTCAGACTGGTCTTGACCTCCGAACCTCAGGTGATCTGCCCTCTTCAGCCTCCAAAAGTTCTGGGATTACATATGCAAGCCACCGTGCCTGGCCTGTCTTTAGTATTTTTAATACTTCTAAACTTTTCTGGTGAATGCTGATTTTTAGAATTTATTTTAGCAGGCAATCAGACTGTTTAAGTTCAGACCATGGTTATTAGCCAATAGCCTGAGAAGAAATCAGACCACAGTTCTGTCTCATCTCCTGTGGATAGTAATTCAAAGTCAGTTCAGCTTTCATTCAAAGCTTTCTCTTTTTTTTTTTTTTCTTTTTTGAGTTTTGAGACAGAGTCTCACTCTATCACCAGGCTGGACTGCAGTGGCGCAATCTCAGCTCACTGCAACCTCAGACTCCTTGTTTCAAGTGATTCTCCTGCCTCAGCTTCCTGAGTAGCTGGGGTTATAGGCACGTGCCACCATGCCCACCTAATTTTTGTATTTTTAGAAGAGATGGGGTTTCACCATGTTAGCCAGGATGATCTCGATCTCCTGACCTCATGATCCACCGGCCTCGCCCTCCCACAGTGCTAGGATTCCAGGCGTGAGCCACCGCACCCAGCCTTTCAATGCTTTTTTTCTATACTATTTGGGTCATGCCCCCCGCAAGGCCAAATAGCATAGAAGCACTTAAGATTTAGTCTGAGACTTGAGCAGTGATTTATGTTATAGTTCAGTTCTTGAAACATAGACTACTTTTCTTTGGATCTAGTCTGTGTATGTACAGTTCAGTATAAAGCCTAAAACTTATATTACTTTATACTAGAATTAGGGGATGCCATTTTTTGGTGCTCTGCTTTTTTTTTTATTTCTCCCACATGCTTGCATGCCCTGGGGCCTTTCTTCCAGTTTATTTGTTCAGAAAGATGTGATAATTCAGAGCTTTAACCTTCTGCACTGATGTGCGATCATGCACAACTGGAGTCGGCTTTAGGGTGAAGTGCTGATAAAAGACAGGGAAATAATGGGCATTCCTCCCACATTCTTCAAACATTTGTCCTAGTTCTGTCTCCTAGTCCCTCCGGCCAGGAGTCCTTCTTCCAGGGCCTTCGGTGCCTGGGCCACCACCTTTGTGTCAGGGCAGTGTCACAGTTACCACTGGCTTCAGAGTAGAGCCAGAAGAGAAAGGAGAGGAAAAAGAAAAATAGAGATCTCCTCCCATTTCTAATATGCAAAAATAACTTTTTTCCAGTCTTTTGGCTAGAAAGAAGACCTTTTTCCTTAGTACTTCTAGGACTGCTTTAGGACGTAGACCAGCTTGTGGTCATAATCAGAAAAGAAGGGAGAAAAAACATTACAAACCTCAACCTCCTATGTATCCCTATTCAAATTTTGACTTCAGTCCTGAAATTCACCTGATGTTGCTTACTTTAAGATATACCGGTCGTTTACTTTGTATTTTGTAAATATACATAATACAAAGGTCTAATTGCGATCAATGGGAAAATAGACTATAGTCAGTTCAGTCCATCTTTGCTGCAGCATGCAAATATTAAATAAAAAATAAAGGAAAAGCAAAAAGCAAAGAATTGACAATGTCTCGTTCTATCTTGTGGAAGCCATCTTTTAAAAAGTCACGGGGCCAGGCGCGGTGGCTCATGCCTATAATCCCAACACTTTGAGAGGCAAAGGTGGACGGATCAGGAGTTTAACACCAGCCTGGCCAACATGGTGAAACCCCATCTCTACTAAATGAAAAAATTAGCCAGGTGTGGTGGCTTGTGCCTGTAATCCTAGCTACTCAGGAGGCTGATGCAGGAGAATTGCTTGAACCTGGGAGGCAGAGGTTGCAGTAAACCAAGAGCGAGACTCCATCTCAAAAAAAAAAAAAAAAAAAAGTCATATGAACTACTCTATTTTAAAATAGTCTCTCACAAAGATCTTCACGGAAGTGTTGGGCCTAAGAAATCAATTCCACAAAATATAGCACCTTGGTATGATGATTATTTTATTTTATTTGAGACGGAGTTTTACTCTTGTTGCCCAGGCTGGAGTGCAGTAGTGCAATCTCAGCTCACTGCAACCTCTCTCTGCCTCCTAGGTTCAAGCAATTCTCCTGCCTCAGCTTCCTGAGTAGCTGGGATTATAGGCATGTGTCACCACGCCCAGCTAATTTTTGTTTTTTCTAGTAGAGACAGGGTTTCACCATGTTGACCAAGCTGGTCTCGAACCCCTGACCTCAGGTGATCCTCCCATCTCGGCCTCCCAAAGCACTGGGATTACAGGCATGAACCACCATGCCCAGCCTGAAGATTTTAAAGTAAAATAATTTAAAAGCCCTTGGCAACCAACATGCACTATTAGATCTCCGGAGTTACTTTATCTGCCTAAAGTCTGGAACTGCCAAAGAAGAAAACAATGACCTCTGGTCCTTTTCCTGTGTTTGCATTACCTTAATTCATATCAAAGGAAGAAAGACACACCTGGACAGACTTTTGTCACAGACCATTGCCTTCTATTTCAGTATTTCAAAGAAAATCATTTCGCAGTCATTGTTTGCTCAGCAGGCTCAACAGACCTTGTTCCAGGTCTTTGTAAGTTCTCGAAGTCCATTCATTTCCCCCTAAAAAATCATTTTCTATACCCCAACTTGTCACATTTCCCCCATTTCTTCTTCCCTATGAAAAGCAGTAAATAAGCATCTCTACCCCATCGTGTTATTGGGTAATCCTCCTACAATTGGGTATGTGCTATGCACATTAACATAGTAAATTTTGTTAATGAATATTAACAAACAAAAAAAAAATTTAACAAAATTTATACGCCTTTTCTTCTCTTAATCTGCTTGTTGTCATTTGATTTTCAGTGAACCTTCAGAGGGCAAAAGGAAAGTTTTCCCTTGGCTCCAACAGTTTTGGCGCAGTGAGCAGGACAACCAAAGCTGCTTTGCTCTTCTGAAAATTGCTCTCAGGGAACCCAGGACCCCGCAAGCCGGCAGAAGGGTAAGAAATTCTTTCCAGTCAGAATCTTGGTCTCTGTCTGCCTTTGGAATCTGGGTGAGCAGTTAGTAAAATCATCAGTTTGTCTCTCTTTCCATACGTAATATTAACAGGAGAAAATAGTTTTTGATTGGTCTTCGATGTAGCAACTCTGGTGTATTTTATTGTATGAATATTCATATTGTCTTAATTGTCTTTTTTTCTCCCAGAAATAGATTTTGTTTCTCCATCGTCTTTGTCTTTACATGTCGTTTTGTCATAAAGAGGAGTGCCATAGGATAAAACATGGGTCTAAAGTCTCTATAAGCCCCTTATCTGAGCTGGCCCCTGAGAAACTGGTCATTGTTTTTTTATACATACTTTAAGTTCTGGGGTGCATGTGCAGAGCCTGCAGGTTTTTTACATAGGTATACACGTGTCATGCGGGGTTTGCTGCATCTATCACCCCATGATCTACGTTAGGTATTTCTCCTAATGCTATCCCTCCCCTAGCCCCCCACCCCAGACAGGCCCTGGTGTGTGATGTTCCCCTCCCTGTGTCCATGTGTCACTAGTGATGTTTACAGTTTCATCAGACCGATGTACAATTGTACAACCGTGCCGTGGGTCCCTGAAATAAAAACTGGGTGAGGTTCCCCTTATATCTTGTTTTGCTTTTGTGACAACTTGACTTGTTACCAGTGGGAGGACTCACTCTTGTTTTTCACCATCTGGGGAGTATGATTTTGGGGAAATAACGTGGACAGTTAGAAAAGGCTAGAACCCTAGACACCTCAGATATTAGGCAGCACGCTCTTAAGTTTAAATATGTCACATTCTCAGTGGAGTTTGTCCTACCTATAAGGGGCCTATGTTGTCTCAACACATGTTACCTGCTTATTTCTGGAAAAGTCCAAACCCAGGAGGGCCTGCTGGTACAACAGATTAGGGGTCTATGACTGGCAGACCCCACAACTTGCGGGATACTGAGGCACTGCTGCACACACAAATAGCACCCTGAGCCATCTGTGGTAACAAGAATCTTTTGCTACCTTAGCATATTTCCGAGAGTGAATTTTTGAGGAATCATGATGGCTACATAGTCTGAACCCAGTTTTAAAATGCTTCTTGCATTCGTGGTATTGTAAACTTGGAAAATTAACTCCGAGACTTTCCATGAAAAAGGCTGATTGGCTTCAGTTACTTTGCAATAAATAAGCTGACTATATTTTAATGAAAATGTTTTAGAAGGCTATTGTCTTAATTAGCTATGTTATTGGTACTTATATAAGAAACAAAAGAGAGGCCAGGCACTGTGGCTCATGCCTATAATCCCAGCAGTTTGGGAGCGTGAGGCAGGCAGATCAGGAGATCAGGAGTTCGAGACCAGCCTGCCAACATGGTGAGACCCTGTCTCTACTTAAAAAAAAGAAGAAGAAGAAAAAAAAACAAAGAAGAAACAAAAGAGGCTGGGCACAGTGGCTTCATGCTTGTCATTCCAGCACTTTGCGAGGCCGAGGCGGGTGGATCCTGAGGTCAGGAGTCAAGACCAGCCCAGGCAAGCTGGTATTACAAGCGTGAGCCGCTGTAACCCAGCTGTACTTTGTTTTACTTTTTTCAAAGACTTTTCTCTTTTGGATCTTCTTTCTACCCTGGGTTGGTTTTTGTTGTGTTTTATTTTGTTTTGGGTTTGTTTTCATTTGTTTTTCCAGTCAACTGGAGCTCTTTTAAAAAGTTACACATTTGGTCCTTCTTTTTGCTTCCTTATTGGAATGATTTTTACTGAAAAAAAGATATTTTGATCTTTCTGGGAAAGTTTACAATATTCCCAATGGGTTTCTCTATGAGTTGCTTTTCCATTTACTTCTACTTCACCTTTCGTTTGCCACCTTTAGTACTACACTAAGGCATCTAACCAGGACTTTGGCCCTCACAAGGGGACCCTGTGACCCTTTGAGGACACACAAAAAAAGGTGCCACTGGCCTCTATATGGTGTGTGTGCATTTCCTGTCTCCATTACAGAGCCCCAAGAGGTATGGGCAGGTTTCTTTCAGGTCTAAAGCTTTGCTCTTTGCTGTGTTAAGCCCCCTGATCTCTGGCTTTTGGATACATACCTGTGAGTTCAGCATTTTATGTCTATATATATTTATATTTCTATCATATGCTTGTATATTGTCTAATGGTAATAAATTGACTTGAAAATAAAAACACATATAAATTAAGTAAATAAGTTCAATGCTTTTCAAATTCATGTGATCTTAATCCTTGTTAAATAAAACTGTTTTAAAATTATTGGTAAAATAAAATAAAAATGTCTTCAGAATTTAATTTATACATTTTTGCCTGGGGCTACTGGTCAGGCAGGTTTGTGCTGTCTCTGCCAAATGTAGTCAGGTCATAAAATTGTCTCTTTTGTGATATTTTTGATACTCGTTTGATTTGCCTGTGAGCTAAAGCTACTACAGCTGGAGGATGGGCTCTCCCAAAGCCTTGCACACATCTTGCTGTGAGCCTATGTTTTTGGTTTTGAGTTTCCAGGTGTTGGGGCCTACAAAGATTGCCATGATGAAGCCTGAAGATATATGTGTGTCCACAGCACCTGGGCTACCAGCTGCAGGGCAGAGTTATGCTCAATAGGGCCTTATCCTCCCAGATCCAGCTCTTCCTCTTGGCCATACTGGGAGAGGTCAGATCCTCCAGACATCTTTGCAGTTCTGTCCTCTGTCTGGGCTTTATACTTGGTGTGTAAATCTGGGACCCAGATGGATGCTTTTTTTAATAACTATCCTGGATGCCCATGGGCATTTGGATCCAGGACAACCTGGTGGATAGAGTATTGAGGAGGATACCTCTGCCCAGTATCTTAAAGGGCTTTGAGATGAGATTGGCTGATTTAGGATTGGCCTGGTTTTGCTGTAAAAAAAACAAACAAGCAAAAAGCTTAAATGGCTACTATTGCTTTTCATGAGCAATTCAGACATAATTGTTAGAAATGAGTAAATTAGGTAAATACAAATGGAGTAAATGTTTATAAATAAACTTACAGTTTCAAAAATATTTTTAGTAACTGACACTTAAAGTCTTAGTCAAATTATCTTAATAGTTAATCATGAAATATCTGTGTTATCTCTAAGCACATCAGTTATTAAGCATAATTAAGTTTAAGTTTGAATACTCTGATACCTTTTCATGTGATATAGAAAAGATAAATATATTTGAATCTCTTGATAAACATGAAAAATTGAGAAAATATTTTTAAGTATTATAAAATAGTTTTCATTTACAAATACTGATATAAAAGATTTCCTTCCTACATTTTCACTAAAAATTAAGACGCTGGCCGGGTGTGGTGGCCCACGCCTATAATCCCAGCACTTTGAAAGGCCAACGGGGGCAGATCACGAGGTCAGGAGTTCGAGATCAGCCTGGCCAATATGGTGAAACCCCATCTTTAGTAAAAATACAAAAATTAGCCAGGCGCGGTGGCATGCACCCATAGTCCCAGCTACTTGGAAGGCTGAGGCAGAAGAATCTCTTGAACTTGAGAGGCGAAGGTTGCAGTGAGCTGAGATCATGCCACTGCACTCCAGCCTGGATGACAGAGTGAGACTCCATCTCAAGAAAAAAAAAAAAAAATTAAGATACAAGAGTTAAAATTATAGTAAATATATGTAATTAAAACCACAAAAATGAGATAAACAATTTTGTATGCAAAGTATATACAAAAAAAAGGCAAGAAATGTTTTTAGTGAGAACGTTTATAAGGAAGGCATGAGCATGTGGTTTTGTTAAAGGAGAAGTAATTTTGTGTAGTTGAGAGGTTACTTAAAGATTGTTTCAGGCCAGGAACAGTGGCTCATACCTGTAATCCTCACACTTCGAAAGTCCAAAGAGAGAGAATTTCTTGAGGCCAGTGTGGGCAACAAAATTCTGTCTCTACAAAATTCTTTAAAAAAAAATTAGATAGGTGTGGTGGTGCACGCCTGTGGTCTCAGCTGCTGTGGAGGATGAGGACTGAGGTGGGAGAATCACTTAAGCCTGGGAGGACAAGGCTGCTGTGAGCCATGATCAGCCCATTGCTCTCCAGCCTGAGGGACAAGACCCTGTCTCTAAAAAATAAAAATAAGTAAAAAATAAAGGTTGTTTCAGCCTAAGTGGAGAAAAAATGATATAGGTAAAACTAAATTGATATAAAGAGGTTTCGTTTTTTTTTCTGAGACAATGTCTCACTGTGTTGCCCAGGCTAGAGTGAAATGGGATGACCTCAGCTCACTGCAAACTCCGTCTCCCAGGTTCAAGTGATTCTCCTGCCTTAGCCTCCCAAGTAGCTGGGACTACAGGTGCGCCACCACGCTCGGCCAATTTTTTGTGTTTTTAGTAGACATAGGGTTTCACAGTGTTAGCCAGTATGGTCTTAATCTCCTGACTTTGTGATCTGCCCGCCTTGGCCTCCCAAAGTGCTGGGATTACAGGCATGAGTCACTGCACCAGGCCACAAAGTTTTTAAAAAGTAAAGGGTAAGAGAACATTATAATAGGTTATAGAAGGTTTATGAACATTTTAGCTTGTGTCAAAGTTGACCGATATTGGAGAAATTTGTTTATATGTTTTCATTAAAACTAGCTTTAGTATTTAAAGTACCCAAAGACAAAGCTAGTGGTTGATTTTCTCTTTTAAACAATATTTTGCATAGGATTAATAAAAATAAAAGATTTTTGTACATGTTCTGAGTAAAATGCAGAAAAAAAAGAAGCAAGAGCGAGAAACAGATTTTGTGTGCCTCACGTCATAGTGTCTTCACAAAGTCTTTTGATTATTTGGAAAATGGAGACTCCAGTCTACCAAAGAACAAAGTTTTTTGCTTTTCGTAATCTTCCAATTCTCACTTTGGCTGAATGAATATTATTTTCTCAGTGGACCTATGTTCCTGTTTTAATCAAGTATTTGAAACCTTTGACATATTTGACAGGCTTCTCACAATTATATTTTAAAATCCAAAATTAATTATTTTTTACCACAAACT